ACTAGTCCTCGCGTCATGATAAACTCCAGCACCTCATCGGCCCAACTGGCCGAGCAGCCGCCACGTCCAAAGTTGGCAAAGCAGTTGACCACGTCTTGTTCACTGAAGTTGGTCAGTGGCCGACCTAGCTGCAGGTGGTAGGCCGCCTCCACCGTGGCAATCGTCCCAAAGTCGACGCAACTTCCACACGGGCCCTGGTGTTTGATGGGCGTGACCACGCCGTGGTCGACCCAGTTGAAGGAGGCAGGCAGCTTCACCGAGCCAAAACGCTCCAACACCAGAGNCTGGTGTTTGATGGGCGTGACCACGCCGTGGTCGACCCAGTTGAAGGAGGCAGGCAGCTTCACCGAGCCAAAACGCTCCATCACCAGAGAGCAGCTTTTATTGCGGTTGCTGTACGAGGCTTTGCTACCCAATTTCATCCGTGATTCCAAGAAATCACTGTCCAACTCAAGTTTGGCCAATTCGTTTTTGTCCTTTGGTTAAGGGGTCAAAATATGTATATAACTGTGTTTGAAAGTAGTCAAAATCTTAAAGCTTACAAGAACAAAATGTGGATTGATGCCCAGTCTATTGAATTGGCCACTTTCAGAGTCGACGCATTTTTTCAACTCGCGTAAAAAGTCGGCAGTGTTTGAGAGAAAGATTGTTATGCGCTCAAACGGTACTGTTTCAAGTCCAAATCGTTTAAGATAGATGGTCTAAAATGTAAAAAACAATATTAACAACTGTTTTTTAATTGATCTAACAAGTGAAAACTTACAAAATAGGTGTTAAGCGCATCATCCAAACGGTCTTCAAAAAGGTCAATTTGTTCTTCTTTAGTAATGAACGGATCATAACAATAATTATATCTAGATTTTATGGTCGAATTTTGACGAATCAAAGGCGTGGTCCATTCAGGAAACAAGTTATAAACTAGACTTTGATTGGGAAGGTAGCCTTTTGATGACAACTTCTCAAGTTGTTCAGGAGTCAATGCTGAAAGACTCACACATTGAATAATGCTTGCCGCAGAAATAGCAAGTAAAATGATTTTCATTTTTAGTAACAAATGTAATATTTCTGTAAAAACAAGTATATTTGTGTTAACAACACATTGGCTTTTTATAATACTTAAAATTTAAAGTTTTAAAAATAACTAAAATACTCATTTGACCTTTTTAAAAACGCCAACTTTAAAATACTGCTCAAAAACAGGTGTATTTTTTAAAAAATTAATAAAACATTGAACATTTCACAAGTCATTAACTTAAAAAACACTGATGAAAACAAACCTAATTTTGAATGTCAAATGAAAAAATTAAATGTTAAATGATACGCCTGAAAAAATTAATAAAAACAAATAGAGCGTTTAATATAAAGGTTAGCAAAAGCAAATGTAGTGGTTGAACAAAAGGATTAAATGATGCGTTTTAATTTTGACTTTTATTTTAACTTAATAGTTTGAACAGTAAGTAATGCTCACAACACAAGCGCTGTTGGCGTAATGGTTAAAGTCATCAGCAATGACGCTTGAGTAGCCGAGTTCCCGAGTTTGATCCCTGACCACGACCTCTCACCCAGGGGTTTTTTGAGTAGATTTCGGCATGCTGACCACAATGGCAGCTTGCAAAATCTGTACATTGGGAGAAAAGCTTTGGTAGCCGGTTGAGTTGAGCTGACTCTGGCTTAACTTACAATTATGGCGCTGGCTGGAGTGGTGATAGCAGAGGTGGAGAGGGTTTCGTCGCCGGGTGGGGGGGGAGGATTACAGATGAACGGTTTTTGTTTGGTTCTGCGGGCTCAGCTGGACAAGAGAAGGACCGGGCGAATAGGGGTAAGGGTAAAAAAGAAAGAGAGAAAGTGGCCTGGTGAAAACGGGTAAAGATTTTATTGAGAAGGTGTGACACAGGTAGTGCTCTACACTCGACTGAAGCATGGGCTGTTTAAGCTTGCCTTAAGAGCAAGTGCTCCGGAGAGATAGAAAAGCAGAGAACACCGTACAGAAAATGAGGAGCAAAAACGAAAGATAGAGGGCAAAATATGAGTACATGGCCACAAGAAGGCAAAAGATAAACATTTAAAAGATAGGAGGGAAAGATAAGGGAAATGACCGGAGTATGAACCTACAACAATTGATTCACTTGTAAAACCTACCAATGTCAACACCAGTAAAAATTTTAAAATTTGGGATTTAAAAAACTGAGAAAGAAGAATGCCATTTTGTTGCTGCTAAAAAATGAAACATATTTAGAATTTTTTTTGCAGTCAGTGTTTCTAATCACTTTACCACAAAAAACAATGTTTTTCTTTTTGTTAAAAGCTAATGTGTGTAAAAGTGAAAACTAATGTCCTGCAAAGCACATAAAGCATAGTCTATCTTTGATAGTTTCATCGTACGGTTCCGTTGAAGTCAGAAGCGTGCATCGGGCTGAAATGTGTTGACAAAGTCAATTAGAGCGCCATTTGCACATTGTGCGACAATGTGCCCTCTCGAGCCACTTTCCCATCTATAAACAAACAGTGCCAGGAGGATCAGTTACACGGTGCCACCACAAGCTACTTTGTTAATGATCTCGCTTATACAAATAGTGCTTGTTTAGTCAGAGATAGCATCACCCGCTACCTGTTAACACATGTACACGACATGTGCACTGTCGCAAAATTTCACCGCAAATAGAGAAAGAGAGAGAGAGAGAGAGAGAGAGAGAG